CCCTCTTCCTTATTTGCATGTGTGTAAGCGCGTCTCTCAGATTGCTGGGGAAAACCGATGAGGAATGGATGGATCAAGTATAAATTTGGGTGACAAACTAATCTGGAAACAACATTTTTAGAAAAAAAACGTGAACAACTAGGTTTTCCAGCAGAACTGGAAGAGCAAATGATTGCTCCCATTCTTCCTTGCAATTATATTTTACATGAACAGATTGCGATCAACTCACGTGCATAGGAATGTCGCGCGTATGGCTCCGAAGTTTTCCACCACTCTCCAAGTCTATTGCTTTTATATACAAATAGCTCGTTCTAAAGAATGCTTACAATTTTCTTTGTTTGTTTTTTGAGCTTTGCACAAATGAACTTTTTGACGGAAGGTATACAAGCAGACTTGAAAGCCTATGTAGAAAAAAGCAGCGAAGGTTCTTTTTCAGCCTAACAGGGAACAGGGGCCGAATTAGTCCTGTAATTGTATAATTACAGAACTATGCGTGAACTGAACTACATAATATTATGCCTAGGATTAAAATAAATGGACCATTGGTAAATAGATAAGTGACACTAAGAGTTTTGGAATTTGTTTTTCCTAGAGGGAGCCGACTACTGTGATTGCAAAACGAAGCCTATCAACTTGATGCTTTTCCTTCGACCGTGCCGCATCCTCAAAGCAGTAACACAATCTTATGCTTGTAGCTATGAGGTGCGTAAACACCACGAAACAAGTTTTGTGGGAACTCACAAAGTCCAAGCACTGCTTAGTCCCAAAACCGCTCCGCTGGGCTATTGTTCGATATGGTGCATTTCAAGACGAGAAAAAGAAACTTGGGAACAAGACATCACTTGAAACACTGGTAAAAAGAAATTGGACCCACTCACTACATCGGAAACATGTCTTGCGTGATTTAACAAGCAGAATCATTGCCGCGCATTTATTCGCCATAGGGCACATGTTTAAGTCAAAACACTGCAAAACCTCTGCAGCGTAGAGTCGACTAATGACAGGAAGAAGAACCCTAAAATGCTACTCCTTCCTACAGATTTAACTCATCGTTAACCCATTGCTTCAAAGAACTGGTAGTGATTTACGCGAGCATTAACATGTCGGAAAAAATATTCCCAACGAAGGGCCATTAGTTTAATCTGAAGTACAAGCTGTCGTAATCAGCATAGGTTCTGTCTTTGCCAGCGGCTGGCAAAATAACCTCACGCTAAAGAATGTTTGTGCACACTTATCTTCGATATAATCCCCATAGCAATAACCATGTCTCTTTCAACGTCAGTGCACTCCAACTTCGACGATTATCTCCAAAACATACATCGATTGGCTGGGGCGTTCATACATGGATCCGTCCCGCAAGTGAAAGCCCCTAGCTCGGCTCACCTGGAAAATACGGGACCGAACACATCGAAAGACGCCAGACAAAGCCTGCGTGCCGCCGCGGGCACGGAAGACGCGAGTCCACCATATTTCATAGGCAACGGGACCTACTTCCAGATTATCCCGAGGGGCTGTTGGAATTGCAAACACAACGGCTGCATGTGCCGGCACGGACGGCGCGTCCCTGATGAATAGCCGGCTGCCGGGGACAGCGAGGTGCCAGCCGGCCGGCCGGCCCGCCGCGCCGCGGGCGCCGCACCGCGCCGGGCCAGGGCGAGGCGCCGGCGGCGCGTGCCGCGACAATACCGCTGTCCGCGCGATTGCGCGCGTACGAACACGTACGCAGCCGAACTGGCACACCGGCACTGCTGCTACGTCAATACGCGTGCGTCGCCTGAATGGCACGTACAGGTCTGTCTTAGCACCGGTCGATGTGGTGCGGCGCTGGCGTCACTATTCAGAGCATGCTTGGTAGCCATTGGGGAAGCAAGGTCGTCCAAAAGGCGAGAGATTGAAAAAAGAAGAAAGGCATTACCACCTTGCTATTGATAAATGTCCGAGAGAATTAAAAGGGCCATGCTCTCCGTCCCGAGCTTTTCTTCTCCGAGTCTCACAGCCCACGATAGTCTTTAGAACTGACATACTTTCTTGGCGTGGCGCCTGCATAGCACATTGAGCCAACTTAGATGCCATTCGCCCCACAATGCAAACGTCTGATGATGCCAGATGTTTACCTCTGTGGCTATAGCACACCGCTGGCTTGTGTAACTTGTCACAAATCTATCAAATTTCTGACCCCTGCGAGGAATGAGCGTCGATCTTCAGAGATGCTGTCGCCTGTCCTGATCGCGCTGACCACGACCACGCGCAGCGGCCATGCACCCAGCCAAAAATATCGTCAGTTCCCGTCGCTGCCCGCTGTCGAACACCTCGCGTCTTCCGCCGTCCGATTAACCATCTATCCGTCAACACGCCCGCCGTCGCCAGTTACGGCTATGGATAACCCCCTACGGGCGTCAAACCAAACCGGGAATTTATATCGATCGAATGGGTCATCTGAAACACGGTGCGGGGGAGGGCACCCCTGTCATCTGAAGCGCGGTGCGGGAGAGGGCACCCCCGTCATCTGAAGCGCGGTGCGGGGGAGGGCACCCCCGTTATCTGGAGCACGGTGCGGGGGAGGGCACCCCCGTCATCTGGAGCGCGGCGCGGGGGAGGTCACCCCCGTTATCTGAAGCGCGGTGAGGGGGAGGCCACCCCCGTTATCTGAATCGCGGTGCGGGGGAGGTCATCCCCGTTATCTGAAGCGCGGTGAGGGGGAGGCCACCCCCGTTATCTGAAGCGCAGTGCGGGGGAGGCCAACCCCGTTATCTGAAGCGCGGTGCGGGGGAGGCCACCCCCGTCATCTGGAGCGCGGCGCGTGGGAGGTCACCCCCGTTATCTGAAGCGCGGTGCGGGGGAGGTTACCCCCGTTATCTGAAGCGCGGTGCGGGGGAGGTCACCCCCGTTATCTGAAGCGCAGTGCGGGAGAGCGCACCCTGCCATTTGAAGCGCGGCGCGGGGGAGAGCAGCCCCGCCATCTGAAGCGCAGTGCGGGGGAGGGCACCGTCGTCTTGGCATCGGTCGTCTCTCCATTGTGCCGAGAACAGCCGTCGTATTCAGATACCCGACCCAGACGGCCGGGAGAGGACGACGAGTCGACGCGCTGGCCCGCTGCTGGCTCGGCGGCCGCCCTGCCCGGCCCACTGTATCACCATCGTCGACAAAGGAACGGACATGATGCTTCCTGCCGCGAATACGGCGGCCATTTGTAGGCGGCGCGCCCAGCTATTCCCTGGCGGGGAGCGGCCGACCGCCCGGCGGCTCTCCTTCAGACGTCGGTCGCGCGCCGCCTGGCAGCACTCCACCTACGGCTCACGGACACCGCGTGGAGAGGCGTGCCTCTCTCGAGAACGGATGCCGAGATCGATGCGGAGCGTTTTGTGCCTCCCGCGGCTTTGGATTTCCAAATGTGGGTGCTCCGCTTCCGACAGAACAGGTTTTCGAGGGGATAACGTAAATGGCGACGATTCAGTGAAGACCTTCTGGATAGTTGGACGGATACACTTTGATCTCTGGAGGAGGATCGAGACTGGCAGGTTTGAAAGTCAATTGTTCGAAATTCAGGCTTTTAATGTCTCCCGAAATGTGACTGCCTAAAACACAGTGGAGGGTGTTAAGTAACACGTGCACGGAAAAGACGAAACGGACAAAACCAAAACAATGCAGACGCTCCGGCCTGGACATAGCATCACGTAAAATTGCGAATTACGTTACGGGGAACGGTGGAACGAGAGTCGCGGAGGTCTGGTGCCAGGCGTCGGTTTCAATATTCTGGGCGAGGGGGTTTCTCATGTATTTGGGCTACAATATGCATTTTTGAGCACCAGAACAGCCCACAAGTCAAAACATGATAAATGAAAGCTTTTAAAAATATTAGCGTAACATGCCCGAGTCGGAATCTGAAAATAAGCTTCGTTCCACACAGACATGCGACCGTTTCTCTTTTCAAACCCAGTGGGGCCGGGTGAGAGCTGTGTGCAAAAACAAGGTTGCCTCTCACTTTAAACGTAGAAGGGTGGGTGGAAAGAGGCGTGAATTGGCCAAAATAAAATAGTAAATAGGGGGAAACAGCTGCGGAATTTCATAGGCACATATCAGCTAAAACTGAATTATAGTACAGGAACCTGAACAGACCGTTGTCTCGATACTCGTTCGTATGGGGCCAAATATATTAGATGCTGGGTATTAAGCACCGCACTGCGTAATCAGCAGGCTGGAAACGCTGCTGAGATATGTGCGCAAGCTCTGGCAGCAGATCTCCTTTCCAGTTTGCCCTTCTCGGCGTAACCTATCAACTTTCCAAGTTGTCGCAAAACGGACTTTCGAAGACCGAAAATGCTGCTGATGAGGTACTGACCAGTTCAAAAGCACGAAAACTCGGGAATATCAAAACCTTTGAAAAGCACTCACACGAAGCAAGGCCCGAGCAAACCTCACGTGAATATTTTTAAGCAATCGATAAATGGGTTTCCACATGACCTTCACTCAGTTTTCACTCAGTTTGAAGATAATAAGTAATCTGGCGGTTGTTAGTTGTTGCATCATTAATGAGGCCATTGCTTTATCACTGTTAACACCGCTTTAAGGTGACTTATAATGAAACACATGAACAAGAATGTGGCGGCTCCGTTCCAACCTAGAGTTTTAGACCCTGTGTCATCTATGTGTGCATAACGCGTCATGACGTCGCGTATAACTCGGTCGTTAACATCTATAATCAGACGCAGGTTAACTACGTTAACATAAACAAAAGACCCCGGATTTTGAGACATCCCTGCTGAATCCAGCCGCCCTCAATTCCTGCAACGCAATCAGCAGTCCGACAACATCTTTTCCCTGGCCTGAAAGCAGTTCACGGGGCGTGGCGAGTGGCCCTAACCAATCAGACGGCGCAATCGGCGGCATCTCTCTGCGTCGGCTGAATCCGGCAGCCGTCTGACAGAGTGGGGGGGGGGGGGGGGGGGAGGAGAGGGGCCGGAGCGGCTCGTGGGCAGTTGCTGGGACGGCCGGTGCCTTACCGGGGAGCGCCGGTCGGGCGGCCGGGCCGGCTGTCGAGCCGTGTCCTCCAGGCCGGGGTCTGTCGGCGGAGGACAGCAGTCGGCGCGCGCGGTCAGCGTACGGCGGCGGCACCCCGCGGCCACGGACACACCAACACGGGAGTGAAAGTGCACCTCTCTGCTTCTCTATGACACAACATAGCAAACATCGCCGTTCCATGAATGAAGGGAAGTCTTAGGATGTTAGAGTGCCAAAAGGAATTTGAAGTCGATTTTTCTCATGCGTCATCATTGAAATGATGTTCAGCATTCTCGGGGAGTGTGGGTGCCATGTAAAGCTGCTACTTTTTTATTTGGAATACCACACTCTCCCTGCACCCGCACCACAAGGCAGGCGTCCCTAAAAAGGCCGCATCGGCCCGCCAACCCTACTTTTCATTCCAGGTACACATACCGAACCATCAAATATTATAATTGCCAAAACAAGACACTGTAAGAGACCTCGAAGAATACTCATTTCTTCTTTGTTTTTGTTTGTTTTACATGTTTTTTTTTCATGGCCAAGATCAAGGGACCTCACAGCAATTCCAGGCGCACACACCATGATGATATCATAAGGGTTACCACAAGCATCTGTAAATCTACAAACATTCATTCCAACACTTGTATTATGAATTTACCTAAGGGAAATGATTGAATTTGATTCAATTCAAAACGTAAAACTATGACTCATTTGGAGAAACTAATGGGGGACCAGCACATGCAGTTACTTACGTCCCCAGTGTAAGCCCACTTTGTCCGAGACAAAATCTCTTTGGTTCTTCCGAGAGCTCTTCGATATGACCATGATTAGAACGCAAAAACCAAGCCTGACCTGGTGGTGTTTTTGTTTTGTTTTAGGGCGCGTCGGCATTGGGACCATTCTGCGCCCACGCCAAGCCTGACTTGATATTTACCTGCGCTCATATGAAGATTGCAGTCCTAGTTATGAACGTTGGCATGCCTAACGTAAACAAAATTTGTCCCTTTAAAGCCAAATGAAAGCAGGTAATTCAAACTCGCATTAGCAAACTAACCCAAATTCACAAAGAAATACTGACACATAAAATAGAGGCTGAATAGCCCCAAACATACACATTTCATGGAAAGAGTGTCCAGATCATTGTTCATGGCCATCAGACGCTACAGCAACATCACTTTCAGTCTCAAAGACAGCAGTGGGTGCCTGGATGATGGCAGATGTTGTTTCTGCATACGCTAAGGAGGCTTCGAATTTCTCTACAACACCAGATTTCATGTTGGATTTATATCATGCATTTATATCATGGATTTATATTACGGTTTCATTATGGATCTATCCAAATGTCTTCAAAACGGATGTACGCATAATGCCTTATGTCGACTAGCCTCGGCATATTCATGCCACATGGCAAATAACAGAAGGTAAGGTAGGGCACTGTTTGGTATAATTATTTTGCATTTATTACACATCCATTATATCATATTATTTTACATTTATCATATCTTACAGAAGGTAAGGTAGTAGTTGGTAAAATAATAGTGTGCCATAAACTGCTCAAATCACATGTGTTGCACGGGACAGCTAATGACCCACTCAAATGTGACTAGCAAATGCGGGCTCGTCCGTGCCCGTACGCCACGAAGAGACATCTCACGCACCCGCGCTCACGGGACAGCTGATGACCCACTCAAATGTGACTAGCAAATGCGGGCTCGTCCGTGCCCGTACGCCACGAAGAGACATCTCACGCACCCGCGCTCCTTGAACAGCTGACGATCTTTTGCGCTAATGTCGCCCTCTGACGTGTTTATTTTGGAACTTTGTGGGGATCGCTGAGATGGTTTGGTGATCGAAGTTTTTTTCTGCAGTTTTTCCCCCTAGCTAAATACCTGCCAGCATATGCATATAGCGGAAAGCATCGCTATATAAGTTACACAATTTGCATGAACGTCTGAGCGTAGAAAACTGGACTGATTTGCTGTTAGAGATTTCACAGGCATGTTTTAGAATTTCAGTGCAAGACCATACTTCCATTCAGTTCTAGCATTGAGTGGTGGCTTATGTTGTGGGCCGTCTAAAAAACCGTCACATGAACCAGACACGGTCGTTCTCCGAAACGGCTCGTCCGGTCCCCTTGAAACCTTCACCAATCGATTCCGTGCAATGATGTGAGTCATGGGGTGGCATTACTGAGACCTACCTGAGATCAAACATCTCAAGAACCCAAAGGGAAAATTTCACATGCGATGTCAGAACCTGTACTGCACCGATTGCCGCAAAACCTTCACCATTGCATATACCATGCCGGATTTCCGTTCCCGGCTGGAAATTTGTTGACCCTAGGTCAGGTCGAGTCATCAAATTTCACAACTTCAAACATTCTTGCTTGCAGACGGATCAGTTCTCAGGACCTACCACGCCGATTGCTGCAAAACCTCACCACTCAGTTCACTGATTTCCTGTTGAAGCTGCAGGTTAGGTGCCATTTACAGATTGCCTTTTCCTTTTACGTTTCATCACAAGAAAGTGTGCAACTCGGTTCGGCTGGCCTTATCATGCTAGTGTTATTTATCACTCGAATTATTCCATTGCGGAAGGTGCTCTGCTGAGAGTCACACATGGCAATGTGCATGATGTCATCGCGACGACGAGGGAGTGTTTCACATTGATATGGGGTTTTGAACCGAAGTAGCCATCTTGTGGGGACTGCCGACAATCCTGCTCTTCTGAAGACCCACCCGCTCTAGTTTCTGAGCTACACGCCCGCGAAAATGGGGAAGGATATCGGGGAGGGTATTTCAGTCACTATGACATTCATGACGTCACAACAAAGTTATCCAAATCCTGTCACTTCATAAGCCATGCGGCGGTCACGGCCAATAAGAATAAAATCGCCGAGGTGTTCATATCTGGCGTTCGTGGGCGCGATTCCCAGATATAACGGCCGGCCATTGTCTCTCAATTAGTGATAAGATACGATGACGTAATCAAACCATGACGCGCTGAGGAGCATAATTACTAAACATAATTGTGCTGTCTCAAGTAGTTTTTTCACTTAACAAGCAGCCAATAGCTATAAGTGAGCTTGCTTCATCGCATCTAGCGGTTGCTTCAATGTCTTCAAATGTAAAGCATTGCCTTTAAAGAGCTGTGGCCGTCAATGTCCGCGGCTGGTCAATGTCTGTGGTGTGCGAGCATCGTTGTGCCCTGGTTATGTACATGCCTTGTTAGCCGTCTTTTGTTGGTTGATACCTCCAAGTTGTTCAGAAGTCCACCGAATCGAACTGAGCCTGAGCCACAGCTGTCAGATGCTGTAGATTTGACGTGCCCGGCTGTGAGGGCAGGCTCGACAGACCTGACCGAAAAGGACCGATCTGGTCAGTGTCCTGCTGTGACGGATCCGTGCCCTCAGAACCTCTCTGGGGGACAAGCTTTCTGCACTCTGCGTATAGTATTCCACCGAGGTACAAGTCCCAGAAGCAAACGGCGGCAAAAATAGCGAAAAAGACGTCACCGCTTTGGTCAACGGGAACTAATTTGTCAACTTGGCTTCACCATGCGTTTTGTGCGCAGCCGTGTTAAAGCGTGATTCGACGATTACGACGGTCCCAAATGTGCCGAAAATTGAAGATGTCTTATACAGTGTTCTTTGTATGTCTGTTCACCAAAAAAGACGACGACGCCCTTGCATTTGCACACAAAATATGCAATTATTGTTGTGCTGTGCTATCGTTGTTGTGTTATTACGTGTGAGTGCTGTAATGTGCCAGACAGCAAACAAAACAAAACTGAAAATGCTCGCGCTTTTGGGCACTACAAAAAAAAACAATAGCGTATGGCTGTTATAGTATGCATCGTAGCTGCTTGGCATGTGTTATCGAATGGTGAGGGTTCGGAGATCATAGAGGCAATGAGTTATGAATGAGTTGCCTCCAGGCAAGAGCGTTGGAATTTGTGAAATTGTTTTGTTTTTTTGAATATGTAAATTGGAATTTTGTGAAATGTGATGAATTGGCCTGGCCTAAGGCCACCACATTTGCACCTGCAATAGGGAATCCGGCACGGCGCATCCAATGGTGAATATTTGATGGCGATCGGCTCGGTAGGTTCTGGGAATTGAATCTGCAAAAATTTTGAAATGTGGGGAATTTGATGACTTTTGACATGACCTGGGGTCACCAGATTTGCAACTGCAAAAGGGAATCAGGTATGGCGCATCCAACGGTGAAGGTTTGGCAGCCATCGGTTCCGTAGGCTCTGAAAGCTGAGTTGTCTGCAAGCAACAATTTTGGAATTTGTGAAATTTGATGACTTCTCTCCTGACCTAGGATCACCCAATGCTCGACTTCAAGCGAGAATCAGGTGTGGCGCATCCAATTGTGAAGGCTCCACAGCAATAATTGCAGTAGGTTCTGACATCCGATTTGCCTTCTTTCGCGTGCTTAACTTTTCCTTCGTGGTTCTGAGGTATTTGAACTCAGGCCAGGTCTCGATGTTACCACCCATGACTCACTTAATTGCACAGAATCGATTGGTGAATATTTTAAGGCGATCGTACGGGCCGGTTCGAAGAACGAGCGTGTCTGCTTCATATCCCGGTATTTTAGACCCTGGCCCTGTGGGCTAAAGCCGCGCCTTGCGGGTCTGTAGGCTCAAAAGTGACAGCACTACTGCTACGACGTCCACCAAATTATGCGAGTCCTTTGCTTCTGGTCGTCGCATTGCAACGTCAAAGAAACAAAGCGCAGGCGACTTTTCGTCGCAGCGCACGAACCCTCACTTCAGCTTCAGGGCCAAACCACAAATCAAGACTTCACGTATTTGAGAGTCTTCCTTTGATGCGACTGGATAAAAAACAAACAAAACGGGCCAAAGAAAGCCAGTGGAACGCAGTGCTCACACAAAGGGCTGGATCTCCGTCTGGAGGCGCGCCGCCTCAGCGATGCGGCGCGGCGCGCTGCCGATCGGACCGTGGCAGACGCGTGACGTCAGAGGTCAGCCACGACTGCCGGTCACTAAGCGCCGCGCGTCCAGCTCGCAAGCGCATTCAATGCACGCAACCCGCTTTCAGAAGTAGGTCTTGTGCAAATTCGGTAACGTGTATAGCGCAACAGCAAAGGCGCCAAAACGTGCACACCTCATCGCTCCAGTACCATTTATGATTACATTTTGCCGTATGGACGCCAGACATGACACGAAATGGGCGGTAGCGCTCCACATTTGTATCCAGTATTGCCAGTAGTGCGTTAGAGCGTTCCACATTTGTACGAGGTCTTAACTGAAAACGGCATCCTGGAGGTCATTCGGTACAGTTCACAGCCCTGCCCTTTTTACGTCCCGAAACGTTCTAGCTTCGAGTTATACCTCGGCAAAGATGTACAGACTATTTCGGGGAGACCATTACAGGATCACCACGGCATTCATGACGCCGTTACAACGTCGATTAAATCCTGTCATTCTATTGGTCATGCGTCGATCACGGCCAAAAAAACAAACTGTCGAGTCACCTATATCTGGCGGTCGTGAGCACGATCTCCAGATATAACAGCCGTCAATTCACTCTCAATCAATGACGTGCAAAGTACGATGACGTAATCAAACAATGCTGTATTGAGGAGCGTATCTGATACACAAAGGAAGCGAACTAGCGGCCTTTTCCACTAAAAAACAGAAGAATTGCTATAAGCGAGGTTATTCAATCACATCTCATGCTAGTTTCGATATCTTCAAATGTGGCACACTCCCTTTATATATGGACATTATGCAGCTCACACCTACAAACATGAATGCCGATCCTTTGTAAGACTGCAACTGAAATTCGTTAGATGTTAAGTATATTCGCAAGGAGCATTATGCATATACATAAGAGTTAACCTTATTCTGTTAACTTCATGAGATATAAGATTTATGTATATATATATATATATATATATATATATATATATACATCTATATAACCTAATCTATTTATCATATATTATATACAGTATATATGAGTTAGCCTGTTTACCTTCTTCCTCGTAGAATAACGGGTAGAAAAGAAAAATAGATGCGTTGATTTTTCGGCTACATGCCTCTGTCAAACCGATGGCATGTAGCTGAAAGACGTGGCACAAACAAAAAATACTTCATGCAAGGCTTCTGATATTCGTTTCGATGAAGGTGTGTAGCCGAAATATCAATGCATCTATCTCTCCTTTCTCCTGGTAATTCTAGGAGGAATAAGGGCAACAGTACTGGCTTATCTAGAAACTCGTCAGACAAGCAATTTGTGGAGTAGTTTCGCGGCATTTTTAGGTCCTTACAGGTCTATATTTTAGAACGACTGGGGATCTTGTTCATTTTTAAGTTATAAATAATTTTGTTGGATTTGTTATTTCCACCCTCCTACAGAGTGCCTATGGTATTGGCGCGAGCAAAACTAAATCATGCATGTTGCGTGATGTAACAATAGGCATCGCACAACACTTTAGAGCACAAGGCAAAGAACAATAGTTGTAAGAAGCAAAAACAACAAGACGACCAGCGTCAACAACGAACCAAGGCAACTTAGTGGCCACGGCACCCCGTGGCCTTGTGCCGAGCCGTGCACCCAACGCTAACCACGTGACTGGCACTTAATCTTCTCTCCAAGGACGCCATCCTTAAGAGAGTACGACGCCAAACGACCAAGGATTCACCCGCGCAGTAAAATGATCTGAACATTGTTACACTATGTAAAAGAAAAAATGACAACGCAGTCAAGCACAAAGATCTGATAAGGTAAGCAGTGCGAGGGCCCACATACAAAGCACATATGTAACATGTCCGTCTGGGAAAAGCACATGTCACATCACAGATGAAACAAATACCTCACAATTTCCCACCATCTACCAATGTTTTAGTGCAGTGCAATTAATAATTGTCAAACGGGGTAGGAATTTGACACAGCCGGTGGAAGAATAGTGCTGCGTTTCGAGAACCCCCAGAAGGGTCCCGGTGGATGAAAGAGCAGATGCGACTACGTCTTCAGGACCACAGCCTGGCGCCGTTGTGCATACACTCGGCGCTGCCCCACTGATAAAGTTAATTTAACAAAAACCGTATAAGTCGTTTATTTTTCCGCAGCATTCCATGCACCATTATGCGTAAATCTCTGAAAAATACCTAATCTATCAGAAGAAGAACAATGGGGGTCCAAAAGTCCACATAATCTTTTCATTTGGAGTTACCTTAGACGACAATCCACACAGCGTAGGCGGCAAGTTTAAGGACGAAATCATTCCTGCGCAAGGTTGCGCGATCAGAAGGTGCCGAAACAATACACATCTTCAGCGTCGTAAAATATTCTACAACGTCCACAACGCTTCCAACTATCTCCAACCCATGACCACACGCGATAAACTCACCTGAGGAAATACAAATGAAACGCGAACATGTGTTGCCCCAACCACTGCTCCCTCTCCACATCATCTTCAGTATTTCCAAGGCGTGTTCGGTCTAAGGATGCACATTCACAAGGGACATGGGCTTGCAAAATTGTGCAGTTTATATCAATACTGATCACTCCTGCTTCGGCGACATCTTTCCCAGTCTGTCTCCTCACCTTTCATCGATACGATGGTAGAATCAGTTCCCTGGGGCCACGTGGCAGCCGGCTGATGGCTCTCCAGCAGCGCGATGACGCGGGGGGAGACGTTGTCGTCCGCCGGAGATCCCGGCGGACGATCTGCCACCCCGCAAGACAGCGTGGCCTCCGCCTGCGGGCGGCTGGACGCAGTGCAGCGATCGGCTGCTGTCCACGGCGGCACGACGTGGGCGGTGACCACAGGGAGCGGGACGCCAGGCGAGCTCGGGTGCTGCCGCTCCTGCCGGCGCCCGCCGGGCTCCGCAGTCGGCGCCGGCGGTGCGGCCGGGCCGTCAACGCCGAGGCAGAGCGGCGCCGCGGCCGGCCCGCTGCCGGTAATGATCTCCACCGGCTGGAAGCCAGGCAACGAGGTGGGTGGCGGCCGGTCGTGCCGGCACCCGCTGTCCACCGCACCGTCAGTCCATTGCAGCGACGGTGAAGGCTGCGAGCTCGCGGTAGCTGTCGCGTTCATGGCGACGTCCTGACGGCAGCCGGGCCCGGGCGCCGGCGTCGGGCGCTCGGTACCCGTGCCGCCGTCGGCAGCGTGGCCGGCCGCGCCCAGGTCCGGCTGCTGGCGCGCCGCTCCTCGGCCGTACACCCTCTCCGGGGCCCGGCGGTGCCACGAGGAAGGCTCCCGGAGCGTCAGTCTCAGCGGCCAGCGCGACCTCGACTTGCCGCTAGCGCCCTCCGGCGACGGCGCCCGGACGCCCCGGCAGTGGCCGCTCGGACCGTCCTCGGCGATCTGTGACGCGCCTGTAACTGACGAGCTAGGCGAGCTGTCGCCCACCGCCTTCACTGGCGTGACGGGGGTATCGAGTGTCGGTCGCCACTTTGCGTCGCCGTCATCGGCCATCTCAACGTCGCCTGATTCAGCCGGGCTGGCCGCGCTCAGCGCGCTGCCCGGCGTCTGGGGGACAGGCGTGCAGGCTACACCTCCTGTCTCCGTGGCGTCCAGCAGCGGGAGCGAGGGTTTCGAGTCTGACGAAACTGGTGCCGAGTGTGGCGGCGCCTCCTCCCCAGCATCGCGAACCGCCGGCGGCTGTGCCAGTGCGGACGAGAACACGCTCCAACCCGGTCGTGCGGGGTGGGAGGACGGGGCGCACCAAAGCGCAGTGGCCTTTTCCTCCTCGCCCCGGTCAGACACAGCTAGATCGCCCTCCACCATCGGCTCCAGCGTGACCAGCGTCTGAACAGGGAGCCCGCGTCCGTCCATCAGTTCGCATGGCCGCTCGGTCGACAGGAGGCTCCCACCGTGCCCGATCACGGTCGAAGGGTAGCCCCAGGCGGCCGGCCGGTCAGCCGGCGGACTCGGCTCCGGCTCCTGGCCGGCGACAGCCTCCGGTAGCCGAGTGGGGGCCTTCTGTTTCCGTTTGGAGCACTTCCTGAGCGGCACCAGCTGGGGCCGCAGGTACGGTCCGTGTCTCGCTGGCGCGCCGCCCCCGCTCCTGACCCTGCAGCACAACCCGCTCGACCAGTGGTCACTGGCGCATCGCACACGGAACTGAAAACTCGAACAACCCATCATGCGCCCCGGGCCACAGTCAGGTATCGTATCAGTATATATATATATATATATATATATATATATATATATATATATATATATATGTATATATGCAGCTGCCAACAATTCCTTTTAAGTTGGAAGTTAGTCATAAAAGCTTTCTGATTATACCTGATCATTCTTTTCTATCGACAAACTGCACCCATCATGTAACATTGTTACCGTTGTTGGTGACAATATAATTCAAACGCCGCGCACTTTTGATAGTATAAACGTAGTCCTCCTTTGTGGTAGGGCAGAGAACGACAAAAAAGAGTCCCGCGACAAAACGTAGCATATCATGCCAGTTAAGAGCATTATTTGACGTGAGAAGCACGGGATGATAAATGGGATGAGAAAATGTTGCAGCCATCACGAAGATGAGACCAAGACCAGCGCATTGGAGCCCTGAGCTTTTCAGCATGCAAAACAGCAGGTCCTAACGTCTAGGATGCTCGTCCTTCATCATAGTTCACCAGACAAAGTGGTTCATTAATATAGCTTCCACCACCCGATTCAGCAATAAACGCACGTAAACTCCCTGGCTACTGGCGTGGCCATTTTTCTCACTACGGTCATAGCTTTATGCTGCTCCGATTGTGACCAAGATATTAAGAACACGTGAATATTTTGGGGTGCATAAAGGTAACAGCTGATTGGGTTATAAGCTCGCGTAGCGTGAATGGTTCACGTAACATTCAATCCTTCTCAAATTGCATTCATTTATTCTCTAGTGGCATTCAGTCCATAAGCATGACATCGCGTTCATTAAAACACGACACCGCTTTACTTCCAGGGTACTTGTGTGTACTGGTCCGACAGCGTTCAGTTGACTAGTTCATATGGAACCGCGCATTCACCCGCGTACGGAAGTTGAATTTCGGTTCTTATCTCCTCATGGTTGTCGAGGTTCCATGTTGATGCCAAAATACAACAAGCATATCCATATTTAGAGGCGCATTGTTACCACAGCTAGCTCCTCTCTAAAAATTAGCCGTCTGTTTTCCAGCCGGGAGATGTTGGTATCGCAGGGGAGCTCGCTGGTATGAATTGTCACTCCGATAAACTCTGAAGAAGCGTGCGTTTCCCGCCTTATTGGTATGGCGCTTGGACTCAACCGTCTCTTCCGCACCCGGTGCCAGATTTCCCAGGGATATTCCGCATAAATGTGGCCACTGCCGCCATCTCCAAGATGCTTCATGAACTACGATATTGCATTCGCAAATATCTTAATAACAACCAGTCGGTATGTTGTTATTCGGCGGACAGCGATGTTAAAAATAGTTTCCAATAGATGTGTTGGCTTCCTCTTGAGAGTTTGATGGTCAATAACGCATTACACGATAAGTTGTAAGAATACCGTAACGACAACATTGCAGAGACCGCAGGAGAAATTCTAAGGAAACAAAATTATAAATCTGTTCATACCTAGGTGGGATCTACACATCGTAAATCAGCAAGACAAATGCTAACTTGATCGAAATTCGGTAGCTGTGTCCAGACTTGCCTGTTCCGGGCGGTGTGACAATACAATGCCATCCAATGTGTAAGTGATGATTCTAAAGCACGCTCGGTTGTAAGTTAATCAAGAGTTAAGTTGCACTTATGACCAAGTATTAATATTTGTAAGGAAAACACTATTTGGAGGCCACAATGCCATACGTGTTCTGATTTTCTGACAGATTGCGTTACTTCAGTGAAGAGGAGTGTTACACATTTGTATGGGGTATCGAACTGAAAAAAAAACACCTTGAAGATCATTCTGTACAGTTCACAGCCCTGCCCTTCCTAAGACCCAGCCCTCTCTAGTTTCTGGGCTACACGGCCGCGAAGGTGTGCAGCTCTTTTTCGGGGAGACTACTTCGAGGTCACTCAGGCATCCATGACGTCACAATAATGTCATTCGAATCACACCTCTCCATCTACCATGCAGCTGCCAAGCCCCCCCCCCCCCCAAAATGTAATTGTCGAGTTGTTCATATCTGGCGTTCATGTGCACGATTTCCAGACATAACAGCCGTCGATTGGCTTTCAATCAATGTTGTGGAAGGTACGGTGACGTAACCCAACAATGACGTATTGAGAGCATATTTATTAAACAAAGAAACTGTGTTGTCCAGAGCAGCCTTTCCAATTAAAAGTATACCAATAGCTACATGCGAACCTATTTCATCATCTCTGAGCTTGCTTCAATATCTCTAAATATTGAACATTCCCTTTTAAAGGGGATGCTACACATTTGAAGATGCTTATATCGTTAAGATCGAGATGAAGAAGATGGAGATGCATTTAAAAGGACAATTTGAGACATTTGGGACATTTGGAGATATCAGAGCAAATATCATATATCACAGAAGAAGGTCACTTATAAGTATAAGTGTACGTCTAAGTAGAAAAAACTACGCTGGACAACAAAATTTCCCTGTTTAGTAAATGTGTGCCTCAATCCGTCGTTGTTTGACCACGTCACGGCACCTCGCACAACATTGATTATGAACCAATTGACGTCCGTTTTGTCTGGAAATCATGCTCACGAGCGACAGATACGAAAAACTTGAAAATTATATTTTTGCTTGCTATCATTGCCTGATTGGTAAAATGACAGGAATTTAAATGACATCATCATGTCGTCATGGGTGGCTCGATGACCTTGAAAGTCTTTCCGAAAAAGTCTGCACATCTTTGTGGGCGTGCAGCTCACAGTCTAGACAGGCTTGAGCCTTACGAACTGCACCGAATGATTTTCAAAACGACTGTTTCAGTTTCAAAGCCCACACCAATGTGAAGCGCTTCTTTCAGTCGCTTTGGGGGGGGGGGGGGTACGACGCCTTGACTCTAGAAGGCAATACAGCCGTAACTTTCGGACTAAATGCTTCAACAACTAATCTATGGAAAACATTATAAAATTGGGCTCTACTGGGTTGGAATAATCTTTAAGCTTCTAAGACAAGCAACTGCTGTTTCATGGATATTCGAAGCCGAGCATCGCGAGCAAACGTCACGTCTCGCAGGTATACGTCACTTATCGGCGTAAGTGAAACAAAGGCGTTGAACGCGGGCTTAAATCACTCCCCCTTAGCTCATCAGTGCGAACACACAGGGACCTTGGCCAAAGGCTGACACCTCACTCGTATGAGACAATCACATTTTAGGAACCGCACACTGACCATCCGCCTAGGTCGCTGGACCACATCAAAAGGTTCGTGTACGTAAATTTGTTAAACGGTTCGCTACATCATTTAGCTGCATTGAAAGCACTGACGTCAACTACTGGATCAGTATATGGAGACAAGTCGTTTCATACATAAGTAAACTGCGTTTCATGTGACTGGTAATTGAAATTGCACCAGACTGTCGCGAACAGACAGGGTCTTCACGTTTCCCAGCTATATCTTTGCTCGGAAGAGTTTAATCCAGGTCGTTCCAAATCCAGAGGCCAAGCGAAGTAAAATTGCATACCCTGAAAATACGCACATCTGTAATCAGGGCGCAGAATGACGTCACCGACTCAGAAAATATGCTCATTTACCAGTAATGATCACCTACGACGACCAAGCGCACGCGAAAAATCATGATGAAGCCCCATTCTCCACGTGGCTTTATCCATACTCCACAGCACGAGTCCTATGTGACGCGGGATCGCATTTTGTGGCAAACGTCAGAGCTTATGACGTAACCCCCCTGCTAACTGGCGCATGATGAATTGGGCAGTAAACACACTACACTGCAGGTATGCCCTCGCGGAGCGGCCGACCATGCTTACCGTGGCAGCCAGTGCGGCGGGGCACGGCGGCGGCGGCTGTGACGGCGGCTGTGGCGGCTGGCGGCGGCGGCGGCGGCTGTGACGGCGGCGGTGGCGGCGGTGGCGGCGGCAATGGCAGCGGCGGTGGCAGCGTCGGCGACGGCGGCAGCGACGGCGGCTCGGCCGGCCGCGGCGGTTGAGCCAGCCCGGCCTCGGCCAGCCGCGCCAGCAGGCCCTCGGCCGTCTGCAGCAGGCCGCGTGTAGCCGCCACGCCGGCCGCCATCACGGCCGCGCGGAACCGGCGCGCCACTAGCTCATGTGGCGGCAGGCCGGCCGCGCCGGCCGCCGCCTCGGCCGCCAGCCGCTCCAGCAGCCGCGCCTCCAGCTGCAGGCTCTCGACGCCGTTGACGAGCGCGTGGCACGCGCCGCACAGTCGTCCGCTACCGGCCGCCCAGAACGGCGATCCGATGAACACGCACCAGCGCCACACCTTCTCGGGCAGCGGCAGGCGGTGGCCGGGCGTCCACTCGTGGAAGATGCTGACGGTCGCGCCGCCGGCGCCGCAGATCATGCAGGGCGCGGAGGCGGCGGGCGGCGGCCGCGGCGGGCGGGGTCCGGCGCCGCGGCCGCTCACCGCGGGGCACGGCCCGGAGCGCAGCGAATGAAGCGGGATCAGACCCGGTACGGCCGCCGACGCCAGCAGCAGGGAGCCGGCGCTGGTTGAACCCAGCACCTCCATGTGGTTTCCCTGGATTCGCACATGCTGCATGGCAGACCTGCAACACACAAATCAGGCTAATCAGATTGCCACGCTGAGCATATCAACGCTGTCCTGTGTGCGTTCATGGCCTGGCTTGGACCTCCCAGCAGCCATTCTGCCGCCAGAATAAAGCAGTGCTGTCATTCGTAGCCGTAACACTTCAACGCTCATTGGCTACGGGCGCCAGTGGAGGCTGCCAGACAGTAAAATAGCTGGTACCACGTTTGAAACATACATATTACGTCAGGCATGTGAGAGCACATAACAAATCGAACGTCACGTCACCTCGAAACGTTGGACTGATCAAAATATATCGCCCGAAAAGAAATTATGCAACAAGCAAAAAAACGTCCGTAATGACTGTGGTGATCCAATGCATCATAAAAATCCAAGTTGACGAGAGCTTAAAATATCAATAGGACATAATAGATCATCACTGTGCATAGACAGGGTGGCTCTATGCCTAAAAATCATCCAACTGTAACACTCTAATTTTTGCAAGAAACAGCTGAAAGGCGCGCAAATGCCACCAGACCTGCATGCTATGGACTATCGCCGTAGCACTAAGCCGCTAAGTGCCTCAGTGGCCATAACCATACATTGGCCGCCAAACGCATGACGCGCATGTTAAAACAATCTCGGTGGGGGTAGGGGAATAATGTAAAATCGACGTACCATCATCAGGTTCTTCACATTAATTCAACGTAGTCTCCAGTTCTTCCATACGCTGCTAGCGCGCAAACTTGCACCCACCGACCAATGCACAGGACTGCCGGTCCTGGCCAGTGCTCACCCAAGCGCCGGCCCTGGCCAGTGCTCACCCAAGCCCCAGGCCCTGGCCAGTGCTCACCCAAGCCCCGGCCCTGGCCAGTGCTCACCCAAGCCCCGGCCTGGCCAGTGCTCACCCAAGCCCCGGCCCTGGCCAGTGCTCACCCAAGCCCCAGCCCTGGCCAGTGCTCACCCAAGCCCCAGCCCTGGCCAGTGCTCACCCAAGCCCCGGCCCTGGCCAGTGCTCACCCAAGCCCCGGCCCTGGCCAGTGCTCACCCAAGCCCCGGCCCTGGCCAGTGCTCACCCAAGCCCCAGCCCTGGCCAGTGCTCACCCAAGCCCCAGCCCTGGCCAGTGCTCACCCAAGCCCCAGCCCTGGCCAGTGCTCACCCAAGCCCCAGCCCTGGCCAGTGCTCACCCAAGCCCCGGCCCTGGCCCATTGCTCACCCAGCCCCGGCCCTGGCCAGTGCTCACCCAAGCCCCAGCCCTGGCCAGTGCTCACCCAAGCCCCGGCCCTGGCCAGTGCTCACCCAAGCCCCGGCCCTGGCCAGTGCTCACCCAAGCCCCGGCCCTGGCCAGTGCTCACCCAAGCCCCAGCCCTGGCCAGTGCTCACCCAAGCTCTGGTCCTGGCCAGTGCTCACCCAAGCTCCGACCCTGGCCGGTGCTCACCCAAGCTCCGACCCTGGCCAGTGCTCACCCAAGCGCCGGCCCTGGCCAGTGCTCACCCAAGCGCCGGCCCTGGCCAGTGCTCACCCAAGCCCCGGCCCTGGCCAGTGCTCACCCAAGATCCGACCCTGGCCAGTGCTCATCCAAGCGCCGGCCCTGGCCAGTGCCCAGCCACGTCCCGGCCCTGGCCAGTGCTCACCCAAGCCCCAGCCCTGGCCAGTGCTCACCCAAGCTCTGGCCCTGGCCAGTGCTCACCCAAGTCCCGGCCCTGGCCAGTGCTCACCCAAGCTCCGACCCTGGCCAGTGCTCACCCAAGCTCCGGCCCTGGCCAGTGCTCACCCAAGCCCCAGCCCTGGCCAGTGCTCACCCAAGCTCTGGCCCTGGCCAGTGCTCAGCCAAGTCCCGGCCCTGGCCAGTGCTCACCCAAGCTCCGGCCCTGGCCAGTGCTCACCCAAGCGCCGGCCCTGGCCAGTGCTCACCCAAGCTCTGGTCCTGGCCAGTGCTCACCCAAGCCCCGGCCCTGGCCAGTGCTCAGCCAAGTCCCGGCCCTGGCCAGTGCTCAGCCAAGTCCCGGCCCTGGCCAGTGCTCACCCAAGCTCCGGCCCTGGCCAGTGCTCACCCAAGCGCCGGCCCTGGCCAGTGCTCACCCAAGCTCTGGTCCTGGCCAGTGCTCACCCAAGCTCTGGTCCTGGCCAGTGCTCACCCAAGCGCCGGCCCTGGCCAGTGCTCAACCAAGCGCCGGCCCTGGCCAGTGCTCACCCAAGCTCTGGTCCTGGCCAGTGCTCACCCAAGCTCCGGCCCCGGCCAGTGCTCACCCAAGCTCTGGTCCTGGCCAGTGCTCACCCAAGCGCCGGCCCTGGCCAGTGCTCAACCAAGCGCCGGCCCTGGCCAGTGCTCACCCAAGCGCCGGCTCTGGCCAGTGCTCCCCCAAGCGCCGGCCTTGGCCAGTACTCCCCCAATCTCTGGTCCTGATCAGTACTCACCCAAACCCGGCCCTGACCAGTGCTCGCACAAGCCCTGGTCCTGGTCAGAGCTCACCCAAGCTCTGGTCCTGGCCAGTGCTCACCCAAGCTCCAGTCCTGGTCAGTACTCACACACATCGTGGTCTTGAACAGCGTTCACAAGAACCCTAGTTCTGGCCAGAGCTCACCCAAGCCCTGGTCCTGGCCAGTGCTCACGCAGTCACAGTCACAGTTCTAGCCAATGTTCACCAAAGTCCCGGTACTGACCAGTAAAAACACCATCTTCACCAGTGTCGCGCCACTCCACTGAGGACGCTCACTTGCAAAAGACTATTCCCTTTGTCGCCCGAATCATCCCGGCCATGTAAGCCATGGCCCGGCCGTCCAGCGATACTCCTCCCCCCCCCCTTTCCTCCCGCTCCAGGATCAGATGCCACAGCCGCCACGGCGCTGACGCTCAGCTGACTATGGGTCAGCGTGGCGCTGACGCTCAGCTGACTATGAGCCAGCGTGGCGCTGACGCTCAGCTGACTATGGGTCAGCGTGGCGCTGACGCTCAGCTGACTGGGTCAGCGTGGCGCTGACGCTCAGCTGACTATGGGTCAGCGTGGCGCTGACGCTCAGCTGACTATGGGTCAGCGTGGCGCTGACGCTCAGCTGACTATGGGTCAGCGTGGCGCTGACGCTCAGCTATGAGCCAGCGTGGCGCCCGCGAGGCAATACTGCAGCCAAAACTATGGAATTGGCGTAAGCATGCGCAGTTTTTCCCCAAAGATGCCTGATTCACGGACACTGGGACACCGTTGCGTGCAGAACCCTCGGCAGGATTCGTCGGTACGTCTTATAGCTCCCCACTCACCAGCAGTGGATTTTTGCAAATGCTCAGTCGATTCTACATACATGTGTAGTATGAAACGGGTTCAAAACATGTGTTACAGTAGCTGCTGTAAGCAGATGAACCAACATATTCTTACATGTTTTTATCGTCATTGCTATCATTGGTTATATTAGCACTATCATCATGTAACGCGATCACTTTTTGTGGACGAACAGTGGCTACTTCAACACAGCTAAGAAGCGTCACAGATTGAAGGCCGCTCTTAATGTCTCAGAATCGGATGACTTTGAAAGGATATTTCTCCGGTAAGACGGAAAACCACCAAATGAGCCGTTTGCTTCGACACACTGAACAGTACTCAGAAATTTATCTAAGAAAACAGAACATGGCTTCCGGAATCAAAAGTGGCTTTGAGCGTGACCTGGTCCGTTGTGCGACGTTGCCATTCCACACCAGGCAGCAAGCACTGCTCCCGGTTTTCATCCTTCGTCAGAAGGTGCCTGACGCTCCGATGAGAGCCGCTCCTCACTCGGCGAGGCTGGTCACCACTGCGGTGCCGCGCAGAGCGAGCTTGTGTCCAGCAAGTCACATTCTACCAGCGTGCTGTGATCGGTATTTGTTTTACAGTATATTCCGAATGATTTCGGTGGGCGGCAGCAGGATTGGAGTGCATGCTAGAGAGCTTGTCGCTTGTACTCCGATTCTACGTATGTACCCAGAGCCATTCCAGTTCAACAGACAATTTGGCCTTTGACTTATATTGTAAGGTAGGACTGGGGGAGGGGGTATTTGTGTGCCAGACAAGGGTACGTGAAGACCACAGGGCGCCAGGCTCACTCTTACCGGCTGCTTGCCAAGTGACCGGTATGCGTGCAGAACCAGCAGACTGACAGTCATACCTGTCCTACGTTCTTAGCTGCGGTGAGTACGGAACTGCCTTCAACTCATTCGTTTAATAGACCAGGCCAGATTTGGTGCATTAATCCATCCGCATATTGATCCCGTCAGATGAACAATCCTTCCCTGATCCAGCACGTGACGGGCCGCCCACACTTGGCAGCGTTATCAGGAGGCAAGCAGGAATTATT